CGTCGTCGTACCTCCGCCATCTTCACTCAGGTGGCTGTGGAGGCCAGAATCACTCTCCTGGCGCGATAAGTACTAGAGTGGGCAAGTGCACCATTAACATGCTCGTCGCTATCCCCTCAAGTTGCGGGTTTCGCATCAACCTTGCCAACCAACACACTAGGGAAAGCGCTGGCCAAGTTGCCGGCATTTGCGGACTCTACCTTCTCCGCACCCACATAGTAATGCTTAAACACCTTTCGTAGGCCCTGATCGATCCCCGCGAGGGTTTTGAGGCCCAGCATGCTCTTCTCGTTGATCACGAGGTAGTGGATGCCCCTGGACCGCCGCTGTAGGGCGTTCACCGTCGGGGGGGGGGGGGGGGGTGCCCGGTGGGAAGGGATCAGGAAGGTTGTTAGGCTATTCGCGGCGGCATGGGGGGAGTGCTTCGCCGCCGGCCGAGAAGACGGATGGACGGATTGGCAAGGACTGTACGAATACTTGCGGCTCACGCTGTCGGAAACTTGACTACTTTGGGCTCGTTTCGTGGGCGAATTACCGCTGTTTCTGGCCATGGGTTTGCGATGGTTTCGATGGTTTGATGACGCTCTCCTCGCCTTACAGATCTTTTTGTCGGCGGCCTCACCCGAGGTAATCGGCTAACATGGAGTCCCCAGGTTCGTTTTGAGTTATGCCCGGTGCGATAGCGGCACGGTCTTGAGACGGTTTGACAGTTCGTTCCATTTGCGAGATCTGGGACTTTGACGTTAAATGTCCACAAGCTTCGAACTCCACTGTTCCGCACCACGTTTCATGGCGCCGTTACTCTGCTTGGCAGGAAAGGGACTTCGGTCATAAGTCGGGCGATCAGCTGTGTAACAATCGGGTGTAAGCCGGCTTTAGGTGGACTGCCGGGTTGGGGGGCCGCGGTGCGTCCTCCGGTGCAGGCCCGTCAACGGTTAGGATGCAGGTCGATCATCTTGACGGGGTTGAAAGACGAATTTAGAAGTAAACAGGTGCGTCTTGCATGTTGTTAAGATACAGACGAAGTTGCGCGGGCAGTTTTCCTGGATTTTGATGGCGGTGTCGGCAACACCAGAAACCCCCTGTCCATTAACAAACCCCCCCTATGCACTTCGTCCATCGGGTAGCCAACTCGGGGTTACGAGTCGAGCGGTCGGGCGGGGTGAGTTACGGAGGTTGAAAAAGCTTTGAAATGCTCGTTTAGGTCGAGGAGCATGCGAGGCGGATGGGATATGGTTGTACCCACAAGTTACCTGCTGTTGTCGTGCAGCTTTACTCCTCCTCCTACATAGTAGTTCAGAAGTCGGAGCTCCAGCAAAGCAGGAGGTTGAATAGAGTCTCTGATTGGCCAAGCGACCCCAAATGTCGGGCCTTGGCAGGGACGTTTAAGCTTAAATCGAGCCAACTGTTGTGGTCAACGTTGTCAGCTCCATGTCGGGGCGTCCCGCTACCCAACAGGCAGCCGTGGGATGCACTGAGGAACGGGCTGGCCGACCGGAGCGCTTCTATCCTAGCCACTGCCCGCGGTTGGTGGCGAAGGGCCTGTCTTTTGGGGCCATGGTCGTCCCGTTGCGCACATGGCGACATCAACAGCTTCCAGCAAAAGGAGAGCGGATTCTATCCGATGCTTCAGCAATGGTTGTGAAGCGGAAGGATTATCCTATTACAAACTTGCTCTCAACGCAAGATTGCATGTGATGTCTTCGTATAGGAGACTCGTTCCTGGGATGTCGGCAGTCCAGGCTGGGGCGCCTGGCTTTGCTTGTTTCATGTTATCTGATTGCGATGCGACGCTGTGCCGGGGTTTGACGCGGGCCGGTTGTCCGCGTTTATCGGCTCCGGTCCGGCGGGGCAAACATTTCACCGGAATTGCCAAGACCGCCGACTTTCGCGGTCTGTGGGTTGCCGGTTAGCCCCGGGCTCAATTCTGCTTAAGGTTATTCCGTATTAAGAGCCCAAACCCTACGCTGCCAAGCGGCCGCCTCAGTCTTGCCTCAGTTGGGCGTCCGAGATTCCTCAAGTCTGCCGCGAGTTTCACCGAGCAACGAGCTGAGCAAATAGCATTGTCCAGGCTTGCGGCCCATGATCTCTTTGTCGGTGGCCCCAACCGGTGCCATCTCACCCCAACGCCGGGGACGCGGCACTCACCTGCCTCTCAAGGAGCGGTTTTGCGGCTTGTGATTGTGATGCGCTGTAACATCTGAGACAGGCTGATGTTGAAGATCTGGTTCCCTCTGCAAGACCACTGGGGTGATGTGCGGCTGGGGCCCAATTCCCCCGAATACGGTTGGACCCCGGACTCGGGGTCCACTCAGGACAAGACACCTGCCGAAACGGCGGCACGGTGGCACCCAACAACTCGATGGCCAGATGGGAGAAGCTATTTGGCGAGACGCCGAGACCCCAGGTGCCAGGCACCGACATTTCTTGGTGAGGCGCTAGCGGCTGTGGAGGTCAGTTGTCAGCACTGACAGATACAGAGGCATGTATGCACATACAGGTTATACCTCGCCAGTTCGATACACAGCCGTCTGTGACAGAACCGATTTGGAATTTCTGATGGGCCATCGGAGGGACCCGCTGACACATCCGTGGTCCTTCTTCCGGGGCTGTTGACCCCCGCGTCCACTCCATGCCAAAATTCCCTGCAGTCCCAGATCACGATTCGGAGAAAACTTTGTGTTACCGTTGCACCTCTTCCCAAGCGATATCTTCAAAGCGGGATAGTGGAGGACTCGCGGAGGAATGGGGGATGAAGGGCCCACTTGTTTTCGCTGCCTCGTCCAGGTCTAAGTTAGGGGTACACCGTCCGTGGAAAGCGATGGGAAGCGATAGTAAGTGATAGGTCGTAATAGGTGGGTTGTGGTTTTGTGGTCGGCGACACTGGTTTGACTTCGAGACCCATCGCCGCTCTGCTGCTTCACGTACCCGCTCACTCGGGAGCACCCCCCTCGGCACACCGAGCTACGACTGCATCTGCATGGCTGGGCATGCGGCGATCGGGCCCAAAGAGAAAACAGAGCTGGCCAGCGAATGAAATGTCGTTTTATTGGGATGCCTTGAGATGGCGTTTTTCTTCGAATGCGGGGGGTCATCCACACTCAAGCTTTGTGCCCCACCTTCCCGTAAACGGACGGCACACCCGAACTTTAGGACGAGAAGGCACGCAGAGGCACGCTCACACTAGCAGATCGTGCTTGCCGCAAAAACGCGAGATGTGTCAGGTTTCTATCAGGCAGCCAACTTTCGCCGTCACGGTACCTGGTGGGCTAACGGACTAGGGAAACCGAATCAAATGCAGAATGCACGGTCAGTTTCCGACGAACTACACTACCACACGAGTTATTCGCCCCGGACAAACTTCCGATTTTACCAAACCCAATCAACATGGCCAGCTCGTCCCGCTTCTTCCGATTTGGGCTTGATGCAGCGCCAACTTAGCGCGGAGAACCAACAATCAGATCTCGCGCCAAGCATACTAATTAACTTTTTTTGTTGCCAACGATATTTCACCTCTCTTGAACGACGGAACTGACTCGGTTCAATACTTCGTCCATCGCAATTGCTGCGGACGAGTTATCCCCCTCGTCCGCTCGTGGTGGCTGGGCCTCCATTTTAGGGGCAGATGATCCACACAAGAGTACCAGGGGACCTTCACAACGAGAAATGAGCAACCGAGAGCTCGACCGGCGGTTGGACCGCTCGTATAGCGGATATATTAGCAGCAGTTTGACTGGGTGTTGCATCCACCCCACCATCGCCGGCCGCTGCGGCGCACGTTTTGTCAGCTTGGAGAAGCTGAAGCTTTTTGAGGCATCGATTAAACCGCACACCAGGGGCGCACTGCAAAAATACAGCAAATCCAACGACACATTTCCCCTGGTTGCCCTGGCCTCGTCAGGTTCAGGCTCAGGCTCGGTAGGGCTTCGGCTGTGCCGTTCAGCCGCGTGGCAAATGGCTTTTTCTGGGACACACTTTGTTGATGTCGGTATCCTATCGATGGCCTTCTTCCTTTGTTTACTCATCCATTCCCATGGACGGATGGCCGGCCATTGTGAGGCGACATCCAATTTTGACGTCACTGCCTAGAAGGATCAAGAGCCTTCGCGTGCCTTTCTTGTCATCCAAAATGTCGAGAAGGGCATTTCCGTCCGTCCGTCCGTCCGTTCTCGGATGCAACCCGGTCTACGTAGAAGCGTCCAGTTTGGCAGCAGCGCATTATCTGATGATGCCAACTCAACTCCCGCCGTTCCGAGAATACACCGTGCCAGGGGGGTCAGAGCCGCGCCGACCACCGGCGCCATGTCTCGCCTCGAACGATGATCCCGTGGCCGCCCGCAAGAATATGCAAAACTTGCTCGGCAAGGGGGCGCGGGAGTCGGCGCAGAAGGGCGGTAGAGGAACGTATTCTTCATGTTACCTTTATGCTGCCATGTCCATGCAGGTCGAGAGATACGTACCACTTCCCCCCCCTTCCCCCCTCCCCCCCTCCACCCCTCCGCTTCACCCCCTGTACGCCACCACTTTGCTCTGAACCCTGGAAGCATGCAACTGCCAAGGCCATACCCGTCGAGAGACTTGCAACTTTGTTGGGTATCTCCGATCTCGTGTGGGTGTGCACCGAGCCCCTGGCTTCCGCCGCTCCATGTGTGTGGTGGAGCCTCGTCTCGCCTTACAGCCTTCTCGATGGGAATGATAATGTGAACCGAATGGCCCCCTGATCGACATATATAAGAGCTGGTCCCCATGCCAGGTGTCGAACCATGCCCTTGCTCTCACCTTCTCGCCTTTCGACCATCCACGCCCAACCACGCCCTCAGTACGCCTCATCAAGAGCTCGTCGCTCTCCACAAGGCTACCCATCCCCATCCCAACACCTCAACAGCCTTCCTACAGCCGGTACCATGGAAGACCTCGGGAATTTTACCGACTTCCCGTCGCCACCGAACTCGATGTACTACGTTTACGGAGATCATGAACCATACTTGTCCGAATCGCAGAGCCCAAACAACTCAGCTGTAAGCGTTCCGCGCTCATTGACCAGGGGAGCAAAAGGTCTAACGGCGCGATTTAGTATGACCCCGCCGCCGGAGACAGCCGGTACCCGAGCCCCGGGCACGAGGAAGGAGAATCCGCGGACCCGTCAGAGCAGCAAAAGCCAGTAGCCAAGCGGAAACGAGAGAACCGCTACAAGAACGCCCCCCCAGCCGTGTTGTCGGTATGTACTTCCCGCCACGCATCCCTGGCAAGACCGCAAACTAACCCCTATCTCTTCCCAGCGACGGAGGGCCCAGAACCGTGCCTCGCAGCGGGCGTACCGCGAGCGCAAGGACCAAAGGATAAAGGACCTGGAGGGGATGCTCAGCGACGCCAAGCAGCGCAACGACGTGCTCAGCCAGGCCTACGCCGCGCTCCACGCCGAATACGTCTCCCTCAAGTCCTCCCAGATCGGCGACACGAGCTACCCGCCCCAGTTCAACAGCATGCCGTACGGCACCGCCGGCACCAGCGCGCCTGGCAACATGGGCCTCAGCGCCGCTAGCAGCGTCGACGGGCTCGAGGGCATCGACATGTATGTCTACGGCGACCTGAACACGGCCGGGTACACGCTCTGAGGTGCCCAAGAAGTGGAGAATTCTGGTTTTCTGGCGGCCTCTCCCACGGTCTACTGCGAAGAATGGCGGGGAGGGCGGCCCGGGCATGGCAGCGCCACATTCCTCATCTTTGCTCCGATTCAGGACGCCTGAACGACCAGTTCAAAATTAAGGAGGCAGTCGAGCCGCTCCTCCCCCGAGTCGGAGCAAAGGCACGGCAGCGCCGCGGAACGGGAGAGTCTCGAACATGGAGAAATTTGGAGACCGGCTTACACGAGGTGTGGCCAACAAAACGATCGGGGTGGCTAAGAGAGCGAAGAGAAACGTTTGCCCGCCAAACCTCGCTCTTCAATCAATTTCGGGCGCCGAGCTCCGCTAGGCGAGTCGGCGAGTTAAGCCCGCCTCCATCCTAGCATGGCGGACGTGGGATACACACACGCACACGTTGGATCCACCAGTATAGGGAGGCTTCTTTCCGTTTTAGGAAAACGAAGGTCATGGGTAGTGGACGGATGGATGGCGGACAGACGATTGGGGGGGGGCAACTGGGTGCTTACTTACCCACCTCACTTGGGATTGCGAATGGTTCATTGGGTTGGCTTTTTTTAAAGGGCGTGGCGTTTTGGTAGGAGTTCTTCATCATCGCCATCACAGGATGGATGGTGGTGGGTGGCGGCTGGGTGCCTGGCGCTTTGGTGCTCGGTGCTTGATGCTTGGTTTGGTGTTTACCTTTTTGGTTAGGGTTTTGGGTCTTGGGCTTTTTGCTACTTATAATGGACGGGACCAATACCCACCCGGTGGATGGATGGATGGACGGATGGGTGCATTTGAGGGCATACATGACTTTAGTTGACTTAATGACATGATGATGATCATCACAGTACAGGTTTTGAAGGGGGGATGTCTGCTGGTGGTGTTGGTTTTGAGCGCTGAGGTCATACCAGGGCCAGCAAGTTGTAGTAGCAATCTATGTATGAGCGGGAAGAGAAATGGGAGGGATAGAAGGACTAGCCCTCGAGTTGGGGTAGTCGGTTGTGCGCGTTGTCGGTGGGACGTGGGTGCTTACTTCTAACCGAAGAGGTGGACAGGGGTATGGAATCTGACCACCTCTCTTGCTTTCCGCCGGTAGTACAGGCGCTACATAGGTACATAGAAGTGCGCCGGGGTTATAGGTCCCAAAATCTAATAAGCCGTAACTATACTAGGACAGCTCAGATGGCCATCTTTTTTGTCTCCCAGAAGCTGAACACTGTGGCGCTCCTGTTCTCTAGGTAGCAGTCTCCAGTCAGTTCTTGGGCTCCTTCGCTTGACAGCACGCTACTCCACTAGGTAGAACTAGTGAGAAAGGATAAGGTACTAAGGCCTCAGTCAAACATCTGGAGCATACTAGATCTCGCTGTAGTTTGGCGACCGGGAGGGCGGCGAGCTGCATTGACCCCGGGAGGTATGGTGTTATGCGGTTTCTTCAGCTATGATGCACCTTATATAATTTGTTATGCGATGTTACATATTTCATTATTTTTCTGACTATTCAATGATCAGAATACCGGAGTAGATCTCGCCTCTTCTGCTACAGGAGCTCTCATTGTGTTTCGAAGTTTCTCTCGGGACCCTTAAACCCACACTATCCCGCGAACACATTCGCCTTATTCCCGGCCGTCCTATCTCTGAATTCTCATCACAAACATATCTGAATGCATCGATGCTGTTCTATCCCTTGAATTGAGTGACAATCAAGATCCTCGTCGTCGTCTGTTGCGCACCTCGGGACGCCCCGGCACCGCATCAACCCCCTTTGTAAACAGTACCTAGGGAGGTAAATATCCAACGCCGCTCAGCACACTTGAGATCAATGACAGATGGGTTGAAATCTGTCTATCATGGTCGACATATGAAATTGACGTTCATAGATATTAAGTGAACCGAAAGCGGATAATCCAACATGGTATTACATCTGTGTCTCACACCCTATTCTAGATGCTGGCTAAATATAAATGAGAAGCACCATGCAAAGGGAATATTCGTATGTGCCGTAGTCTCTTCAACGAGTTGTTTCCGAATGTCTAAGCCGATAAGGGGGTTTTCGCAGCCATGCCCATGAACAACAACCAAGAAGTCAGCTATCCCTCTATCAAAGATGAGCATTGTACAATGGGCACTGTATGCTCTGGTGCGATGAGTTTGGCGAGTTCTCATTTAAGTTGACGCAGCACTTGTGGACTTGGGTACCGGGGGTCGGCAAAGCTCTGTTCCGAGCGAGGCCTCCCTGTGCGTGGGTTGTCCTCGCACTCGATAAGGAATTGGCAACGCCGCATGAGATTGCAACTCGGGACGGTCACGGTAAAAGATGAGGCAGAAACACGAGGAGGTAGAGAGACGTGGCCCCTGGTGGTCCTCTGATAACTAGCAAATTGAGAAAGGAAGCAAAGCTGGTCTCACGGGACGGCGCAGCCAAGTCACTGTTGTTCAAACAAAAAGGGGCTCCCCAGAGACCAAATGAGAAGCGCGGCAAAATTGCATGATTCATTTTATTCATTGCCGTAAGTTCATACCACTACCCAATATTCCGTCTGAGCAATCTCGAGGGCCTTCGTCCACCATAAATATATATCGCCCAGTTCTTCAGCCCTAGCGTCAAACAAGGACGCGGGACAGGTGTAATCCCCATGCTGCCGGCGGTTGTCGTGGTAAATAAGACGGACCCCAGTGGGAACAAGTAGGGAAGTATGCCCCAAGTTATGAAGGAGTTGTGTAGTTGCTTTGAAAGAAACAAGAAAGCTTGGGCTAATATGCCAACTGCCGGTGGTGGTGTGTGCTTTCGTGCCGGTCGTCAGGGACCGATGGTTCGGGCAGAGGGTTCGGGGTGCGACCAGTGACTTGAGTTTGTCCCGGCCGGGCCCGCAGCATGTCGATAGTATAGAGGCTGATTGCCACCCCAGTGTCTCTATACAGGAGGGGTGGATCTAAGTTACGGATTCTAGCAATGGTCAGTTTGACGAGCCTGGTTTGGATGGATATGATATGATGCATGTAAGCTAGGGACTCACGAGAGACGATCATTGAGTCCCTCCAACACAGTCACGAGCTCGGTGCATCGGCAGCCGGCGTCAACCGCGAGGTCGGAAGCGGCCACTCCACAAAAGGGGTATCCCGAGCGTCAGATTTCCTCCGGCAGACCACCCGGGGGGTCTGTACGAAATCAGTTGCTCGCTTTCCGTCCCGCCGCAGCCCGGAGGGAACTCGGCTTGTTGAGCGAATGGTGGCTGAGGGGAGCATGGTCTGAATTTCGGTGCCTGGATGACACTGTGATGGGTGGGTGGGAGTTGGGTGATAGGGCTGCAGCAAGATGCCGTAAGGTGAGGGTGTCAGCCCCTTTTTTAAGCAGGCGGCCTGCACTCGCGGGACGGAATGGGATCGTCGCTGTCGATTCAATGCCTGCTCGATGACAACATGATGTTGGGGGCGCTGGTTGCTGAATCAGCCGTCTTACCCATCTCTCCACTAGAGGACGCGATTCTTGTTCAAAGACTGGCAAGCGGACCATTTGAGAGTCAGCTGTGTGGCTCTCCCTGTATGCAGTCGCATCGTTTGGGTCAAGAGACTCTCCCGTGAGAGGTCGATCCAGAGAAGACGCTGCGAAGTCATGCTCGAGGTGGCTTGGCACCGCTGATGTGAGGAGGACTTATTGGACATCAAGACCTGGCTGCGTTTTGGCCTGCTGCGTGTCAGCAGGATGCCGTCAGCGGTTGGACTCGGTGAGTGGAAGACTTTAAAAAGGCGCGTGAGCCTTTCTCTCTTTCATCTATGTATGTATGTACATACATACATACCTACGAAACTCGCCGGCCCCGCAACGCACCGCCGTGTCCCCGTCCCGTGTCTACCGGGGTGATCGTCATCCTCGGCTTCTCCACAACCCGGATCAACTGGCATCCATCCATCCCTGGCCCTGGCAAAGCCGACAACTGTATTTTCCGGGACCACGTCCGCACCCGTACCCATCGCCGGGCGTGAGGCAACCGATCCGCCGGGTTTTAATCCGATGTCGAGAGTTCTTCAAAGGCGGATGCCACTGCGAGGTTCCGAAGACCAAAAGGGCAACTGGATAAATGGGCCAATTTACCCTGATAACCCCATCCCTACAGGCCGCCATTTTTAATATGAGGGCGGGTTTCCTTTGGGCGGAACAATCGGTGGATGGCTTTCGGCACTGAATTTGCCTCCACATTCCACGTGGTAGCTAAGGATCCGGGGGAAAATGCTGCACAGATACTGGCAAAACCCAGATCGTTTTCGCCATCTCCCGATGACAAGAGCAAGGTGTCATCGCAAACCACCGGGCCGTAGATGCCATTCTCCTTCTTCTTTCTTTTTGTGCAGCAATTGAACACGTTGAAGGTCGATTGGTAGGTCTAGACCGCCGCGTTTGGATGATACCCGAATCGTCAGCTTGCTACAATTAGTGCAACCACATCGACTTGTGCATCTTGTACATACATACCCACTTCCCAGGGGAAACACGCGGGTCTCTCGAAGCGACTTGATCCGCCGCCTGGGCGGCAACATGCGCTGTCGCCCGGCTTGCTAGTGACCCTCAACTAGCTACGGACACGACCATGGGCTTTGGGAGGAGTATGCTCAGCCATTTTCTGGCGGTTGTGGTTTTCTTGGTAGCACGGTCCATCGCAGGCTTCACCAACGCGTTTGACGGCATCACGAGCGGGTCGAGCGTGGCGCTGACCTGGGACGCCGTGGAACCGCAACACTACCCTTTGCGCATCACGGCGCAGGTGATTGATAAGAATGGTGACGGTTTCAGCGCGAAAGCATATCGGTTCAATATCACAAGTATACCGCCCCTCCTCACATGACTTTCTTCTACAAGGCTGGACAGGGTTGATCCATGTCGTGGCCTTGAGATGAACCTGAAGGGGGAACTACCCCCAACGGAAGGCTGAATTCACTAACCATGAAAGTAGCTGGCGCCAGTGGAACTTCATACTTATGGGCGGGGGCGCCATACCCGCTTCGTTGGGTTCCCAGGGGACTCTACCAGCTCGAGCTGAGGCCGATGACCTGGACTGGGGCTGATGTGCCCTTGCTGGCCAAGTCGCCATTTTTCAGCATCGATTCTGGGAATGCGGCGCAGACGGATGGGCCAACAGACGAGGTAAGTCAACATCGTCTCGGTAGCCTCGGAGCTTGTTGGGCTAACACGCCTGGCTTTCATAGCCCACGGCACCAGCAGATCCCCCGAGCGACGACGGTCCGGTCATTAGCAAGGCGGCAGCTATTGGACTCGGTGTGGCCGTCGGGGTGCCTGCGGTGGTGGGAGCGCTGGTTGTGGGCTGGTGTGTCTGGAAGCGGCAGCAAAAGGCGGCCACGGAAAAGAGGCGACTCAAGAGAAGCGAGTTTGTCATTAGCTGAGGGAAATGAATGCAAACTGATTTGAAGGCAATCAATAACTGGGAAGTCCGCAGACACCGGCAGGACGGAAATAATTTCTGCTTCTCAGGTTGGTCAACGGGATGCCGTGCCGTAGGTGCCACATTGCTGCGCCGGTCTCTGAGAAATGAGAAATCGGTGTCAAACCGGTGACTTTTCTGTGTGGGATGCTTATGCACAGTTCTTGTGCCGCGCCATGAACTGAGCAGGGGAAACGACACCGAGATGGAAGGGGCCTGACAAGAGAGATGGAAGCGAAGCGGCGGGAGAGGAAAAGGTGTGGCGCGAGGTTTTCAGGGGAAGAAGCTGTCAACCTGTCCGAATCCGAGTTATCGCATTTCCCCGGAGCCACCCCGGCTCGTCAGTGAAAAGAAGCTGCAGGTGAGGATGCACAGAATTGGAAGGAAACAATCGCTTATGGGGACACTTCGTAATGATCCCTGGCCCGATATCTCATCTCGTTCCTCAATTCCGGGTTTGTGGCTTAATGATCGACGGGCCAGGCTACCAGAGATGTATTTTAAGTTCCCCCACGTTTTTCAGCCTTGGTTTGCGCTGGAAGAGGAGACGATCGACTCTCATAACAACGGGATCTTAATGCTTGGTTCAAGTTCAGATCCCGGGAAAATTCGAGAAATGGAGGACCCTGAATCCAACCATCTTTCTCTCCTATTCCATCCTATCCAATCAATCATCCTAACCTGAGAAGAACGGTGGCGCGACCAGGCACAAGTTGGGACGAGGTCCCCGCTCGCTTTGACTGGTACCCACCATCCAAGGGTGGCGCTGCTTTTTGTTCCTGCATCTGGACTCTCTCAATGGCTCCACACCCCGTTTCGAGAGTCTCGGCTCGCGCGGATGGGCCCTCTCTGGCCTGTCATCGGGCCTTTCGTTCGCTTTCGTTCACTTTTCACTCCACTGACAAGTCTCCGACATCCAACGGCCCGCTCCACACACGATCTCTGTGAACCTATCGCAACGAATGGATGAACACCTCTCAGGCTAGGCGGCGGCAAATGTTTCCCTCGAGTCCGTCTTCCGGGATGGTCTGGGGTGGGCTCCAGGACTTCTCGAGGAGGATGAGGAGACGGAGGAGGGCAGGAACCCCGGGATGGATCGGGTTGGGTAATGAGCGCGATGTGTGAATTGTCTGTCGCCTTCGCGAGACCAACTTGGAATGTGTGGGTCAATATTGGGCATGCTGATGGAGCCCGGAACCAACACCACTGCCTGGGGGCACACGTCCCATGCTTTTTCATGCGGCCGTTCCTGCATTTCACGACCAATGAGAGATGGTTGGTTCCTGATCCTCTTTCTCAAGCGCCCCCAAGGCGTATCCAAGTGTGCCAAGGATCGATACGAATCTGGGCCTTGGAACCGCCAACACGTCCAAACCCTGAACGTGGGCCTGACCATTGGCGCCCGAACCGGACATCGGCTCCTTTTTGGTGATGGGCTCGCCTTGACGACCTGAGCCACGGGGTTGCAGTTGCGGTGGGGAGCCGTGGGCACAGCGACGCGGCCCCTCCCCCCTTCCCGCCGTGCCCGGGGCTCGGCTGGCTCCCTAAAAGGCTTCCGATGCCACCGCCAACATGCCGGCGCTTCTCTCTCTTGAGCCTGATGCTTCTCCAGCCAAGTCCCTCAAGCTGCCTCCCTAGCGAGACTAGACTAGAGCATTGTTTTTGCTCGTCCTCTGACGTATCGTACGTCGACTACTCACTCGTTCAACCTATCTCTCGGACCACTGTCACTCTTTCGTGTTAATCACGTAAAACTTCCCGATGGCTCCTACTGTCGTCCGGCTGGGCGCTGCTGCCCTGGCCTGTGCCTCGAGCACCCTTGCCCTCGAGGCCTATCAACTCAAGGAGTCCTACAACCCCTCCAACTTCTTTGACAAGTTCGCCTTCTTCAGCGACCGCGACCCCAACCAGGGGTTCGTCAAGTACAGGAACAAGGCAGATGCCACCAGCCTTGGTCTGATCAAGAGCACCAAGGATGAAGTCACCATCAAGGTCGACTCCACCGGGACCGACCAAGACGGCCGGAGCAGTGTCAGACTCGAGAGTGTCAACACGTACAACTCGGGTCTGTTCATTGCCGATTTCTCCCACTTCCCCAAGCAAGCCTGTGGTGCTTGGCCTGCTTTCTGGATGGTCGGTCCCGAGTGGCCCCGGGACGGTGAGGTGGACATCTACGAGGGCTGGAACTTGAACGAGCGCAACAAGGTTGTGCTCCACACCGACGACCCTCAGTTGGTCGGCTCGTGCACCATCAGCCCGGGTGACTTCACGGCCAGCATGATCTACAAGAACTGCTGGAACAAAGCTCCGGGTCAACCGGGCAACACGGGCTGTGCGGTCGAGGAGCCCAACGGCTCCTTCGGCAATGAGAATGGCGGTGTCTGTGAGTAATAGCCCTTAGCAGCGATGAAATCCGCATTCCGAGTCACTGACACTGTCTAGACGCCACCGAGTGGGCGGATGATGGCATCAAGGTCTGGTCCTGGCCTTCCGGGGGCGCCCCCGCGGACGTGACGAGCGGCAAACCCGACCCGACCAAGTGGGGCAAGCCCAAGTTCGCGGCCGGAGGCAACAACTGCGACGTCACCAAGGCCTTCCGCAACATGCGCATGGTGTTGAACATCAACCTCTGTGGTGATGCTGCGGGCGGCCTCTGGGGCGAGACCTGCAAGAAGAAGACCGAGGTTGATGAGTGCTACCAGTATGTGCAGTGGAACCCCAAGGCGTTCGAGAAGACGTACTGGCAGGTTCGCGGCATCAACGTCTACCAGCTTGAGACGGTGAAGCCGACCCCGAGCTCGACCTCGACCACGAGCACCTCAACCAGCACTTCGACTAGCACTTCGACCAGCACCAGCACCTCAACCAGCACTAGCACTAGCACTAGCACTTCGACCACTTCGACTTCGGTTGCCGAGACTTCGACCGTCGAGTCGTCGTCCAGCACCTCGACTGCCGAGACCAGCTCTGTGCCCGAGGAGGAGCCGACCACTACCATCACCTCGGAGACGGCGGCCGAGACTGTGACCCCGACTTCCTCGACCGAGGAGGCCAGCGAGACGGCCACTGAGACTGCCACCGAGACTGAGAGTGAGTGCTCGGATGACATTACCACCTCTACCACCGAGGTTCCCGAGGTGACCAGCACTGCGGCGACGGCGACTGCTACCGAGACCGAGAGTGAATGCTCGGATGACATTACCACCAGCACTGAGTTGCCCGAGGTAACTAGCACCGAGCTGCCCGAGGTGACCAGCACCGCGGCGACGGCGACTGAGACGGAGAGCGAATGCTCGGACGATGTCACCGAGTCGGCGACTGCCGAGCCCACCAACTCGGTTCCTGATGTGACAGTCACCTCCTCGGAGAGACTCACCACCTCGACCATCTACACGACCACTACCTACACCATCACGTCCTGCGAGCCTACCGTGACCGAGTGCCCCGGCCGCGTCGTGACCGAGACCATCGCCGTTTCCACCACCGTCTGCCCCGTGACGGACGTTGAAACGGACGAGCCCACCGACAAGCCCACCGGGCCCAACCCCAACCCCACCGACAAGCCTACCGGCTCCAACCCCAGCCCCAGCTCTAGCGTCAGTGAGGTCGTTACCACCATCCGCACTCTTACCACCATCTCGAAGACGACCACCGTTGTCCTGCCCCGGCCGACCGGCGAGGGTGGCGACGACGAGGGCGAGGACGACAACAACGAGGGCGAGGACACCCCCTCGGGCGTGCCCAGCTCCGCTGTCTCGGAGGTGGTCGAGCCCACCGGTGGCGTGGTACCGCCGCCCATCGAGATCGTCACCACCCTGCCCACCGCCAATGCCTCGCAGACCGCGATCAAGCCGCCTATTGAGACGGCCGGCGCGGGTCGCGTCCTTGTCAGCGGTCTGCTGATGGCTGTCGGTGCCGTTGCTGTGATGGTGCTGTAAGCGCAAGGGGGGATTGTTTGTTTGTTTGTTTGTTTGTTTTGTTATAGCGGGGGAAAAGGGTTTACTATTCTAAGGAGGAAATGTTCAGAGGCTTAATGTATTGCTTGGTGACATAGAGGGACAGGAGGATGTTGTGCCTTAGACTATTAGCTTTGGATAACGAGCACGTATATGTTGATGATGGAATTATGCCCCCCTGGGACGCTACTTATTTGGATTTGAGGGCTGACTGAGTGTGAAGGTGACATGATGCCTTGATCGATGTTTTTTGTCTTGTTCGTTTCTCAGGTACATGGTCACCCGTAAAGAGGTCAGCTTATTGCTCCCGCAACTCCCGTCGTTAGGAATTTAGGGTTAGGGTACACGCCAAGTTTCTCCTGAGTTTACACCACAATTTCTGAGACATATGAGATAGTTAAAAGGGAGATGTGGAAGTGAAAAGATATATTCTCTCCAATACCTAAATGAACTTTCGGACCTTCGAGTGTCGTTACAACAAAGTTAGCACATGTGCGGATGGTCTGTCGATCATGATTTCAGAGCTCGTGGGCGCTGCAAGGGCCCGCAGCGACCGCCGATCTGTGGGTGCTCGCCCTCGATAACCCCAATGCTCTTGGCAGAGCCACTTTTCATCCCACACGGCATGGAACGCTTTTCTCCACTTGAATATCGTCACGGCCAAATACCTAACTGACGCTGTTCCCAAAGCCTCATAATAGTATTGGGTATAACCTAATAGCGCTCAGTTCGCTGGCATAAGAAAATGCTACTAATCCCCAAATCCCTCAGTCTCAGTCAGTGTTCTCACTAAACCCACGATAAAAGATCTGCTTACACGGTTTGGACGGCCACCCGATGGACCCGAAGGATGGGACGATCCGACTGGAGGTGCAGCAGGCAACACAGGCATAATCCCCCATAAACTTGATGAAAGTGGTTCAACAGGAACACGCTGCGCTATAGCCTGTATCCACTGTAGGGTATTATGAAGAGCCGTTGTTAAGTCATTGACTTGGGTTAGCAAAGACTGGATGAGCTGTAAATTGGGTGACCCCCCCGGAGGGGAGAACGGTGGAACAATGACACCACCTTGCGGAGGCCGACCATCTCTTCGTGAGTTCATAATAAACGGCGTCGAGAAAGAGAAACTAAACTTACAACTTCCTGGGGCATCGACAGAACTACCTAAACACCTTGTCGGCTCACAGCCGGCATGCAATCAATCGGTTGATTGTTACCTTACCATACATGACCCACCGGTAATTACGTATTTGTACTTACTTAGAAGTCTATCAGAAAGACATGACATCAACTATCCGAGAACGCCGGAGATCCACCATTTCAACTTCAACGCTTCCACTTCACACAACGTTGCCCATGTGCCGCGACTGACGGCCTCCTACTTCCTGCCAGCTGGAAGCTCGATTATTTCCTTTTTAGACATATACCTGCTGTGATCGGACCCGCCCCCCCCAACCATGTTAAAGGTCCTCCGGCCACGGCCCTTCCTCGCGCAAGGGCCGTCAGCGATGCGACGATTGCGACCACCACCACCCCGACCGATCGCAAGCCGCCTACAAGTTACCGCTCGATGCATGCCGCTCAACAGCGCATATTCAAGCCAACCACCACCCCACACCGTCGAACCTTTCCCTCCCCGACCTTCCCCGATCCGACCATTCCACCCACCAACACGCCCAACTCCCACCGCCCTCCCCCACCCCCAACAACAACACCACCAACACCGCACCTACAACTACCACCCCGACAACCGCCACCGCCGAACCCCCTCACCCCAACCCTACACCGACCCCGCCTACCGCGACGCCCGCCTCCTCGCCGCCAAACCCCTCATCCACTGGCGCGGCTTCCGCGCCCTCCACACCCCGACCACCTACACCATCCTCCTCGCCGTCGCGGGCGGCCTGCTGGCCTTCTACTTCGCGCACCTCGAAACGGTGCCCGTGTCCGGGCGCACGCGGTTCAACGCCTACGGCGCGGCGTCGGTGCGCCGCGCCGGCGAGCTGGAGCAGCGGCGTCTGTTGTGGCAGCTGGAGCAGCAGGGGGTGCGGGTGCTGCCGGAGTGGGATGGAAGGGTGGTGAGGGTGCGGCGGGTGATGGAGAGGTTGTTGCCGTTTAGTGGGATGGTGGGGCTGGAGGGGATGGAGGGGGAGGAGTGGGAGGTCTGTGTGGTGGATGATCCGCGCACGGCGAACGCGTTCGTGTTGCCGGGGGGCAAGGTGTTTGTGTTTAGTGGGATTTTGGGGCTGGCGAGGAATGACAGTGGGTTGGCGACGGTTTTGGGGCATGAGATTGCGCATAACTTGGCGGGACATCATGGGGAGAGGCTGAGTCAGGATATTAAGGCGAGTGTGGTGCTGTATACCATGATGGTTTTGGGCGGGGCGTTTGGGCTGGGCCCGTTAATCATGCACTACTTTGGGTCGCGGTTTTTGGATGTCGCGTTTGGGTTCCCCATGAGCAGGCTGCAGGAGAGCGAGGCCGACTACATTGGCTTGATGATGATGGCCGAGGCGTGCTACGACCCGCAGGAGGCGGCGAGATTCTGGGAGCGGATGGAGAGGGCCACGGGGCAGGAGATGCCAGAGTGGATGAGCACGCATCCGGCGGTAAGTCAAGGCGGTTGCTACGGTGGTGGTGAGGTGTTAGTCTCCGACTCGCTAACGGATGGCAGAACTTAAACAGGATCAAAAAGATTCAGGAGTGGCTGCCCGAGGCCATGGAGAAGCGAGCGCAGAGCGATTGCAGCTCGACGACGGCTTTTGCAGATCTATTCAGACATGCAATGCGGACCGGCCAAGTCTTTTTTTGAGGAGTTGGCCAAGTGGCCTTGTATTTAAGCGTGGAGTTACTGGGCAGATCTGGGATGGAGTTAGTGGAGTATGTTGAACGAGTGAGTAGCCTACGGTTCTGTATGCCTGAAAGGAAGATACCCCTATCCACCTTCTCCTGGCTATATCAACCAAACCTGTGAAGGGAAACCACCGCTCTAAACTTTATACATCATCGCCTAACATCCAGCACCCCCAAGATCCTCATCTCTTCACCTCCCCCCCTCTCCCAAACAACGCCCTCCACAGCGCCCTCCACCTCCGTCTCCCCTCCCCACCAGCCGTCTGCACCGACCCGACCGCCGACATGAGCCTCTCCCGCTCGGCCACCTCCCTCTTCTCCCTCCGCTCCTGCCGCACCCGCAGCACCTCGCGCCCGACCACCTCAAACACCTGGTCGATGCCCTCCCCGGTCTTGGCCGACACCTCCAGAAACGGCACATCGACCCCGCCGTTGCCAACACCATTACCAACACCGTTCCCAACCCCCATACCACGCGCCGCGCGCACCCCCGCCGCCCGACTAACCACCCCCACCCCATCTCCACCATCCTCACCCTCACCCTCCCCCCCATCACGCTTATTCCCCACCCAACACAATCGGATACGCCCGCCCGCGATCAATCCCACCACCCCCAGCACGCGACCCAGCACCCCCACGACGACCACCACCACCACCCGGCGAAGCCACCGCCTCGGAAGCAGCAGAAGAGGAAGACGGAGTCGCCGGCGCGAAATGCTCGCGCATAAACTCGGCCAGGCCGCGCGCCAGCTGCAGCGAGGCCGGGTCGCGCACCGAGTAGACCAGCACGGCGGCCTCGGTGATGGAGAGGGCTTGCGCAAGGAGCGGGTTGCTGGGCAAGTGGGCGGTGGGCATTTCGAGGGCGTCGATTAGGTAGGTTTGGGAGTGGGTTTTGGGGGGTTGTTGTTGATGTTGTTGCTGGTTGTGATTGTGGCTATGGGGGGGTTGTTTATACAGTCGGGTGGGTTGGGGGCTGTTGATGTGGGGGTGGGGATGGGATTTTATGGTAGTGCCTCTAGGGGTCGGGTTTGTAGCCGTGGTCGAGCTGGTGAGTGCGTGAGCTGTGGCCGAGGTGGGCAGGGCAGGTGTCTCAATCTCCAGCGTGATGGGGTGGCGGCAGCCTCCCTCGTAGAAAGGGTCGGGGGGCAGGGTTTCGCCGTGAAAGGTCCCTTCGCCGAACTGGATCGACTGGTGGTTAGGATCACGTCGCGGTCAAGGTGCCGTGATTGCACGGTGGATTGGAATGCTTACTCTTGTTAGGATAGCCGTCTTGCCTGTGCCTCGGCCACCGATCACGAGCACTCGGAACTCGCCCGCCGGTTTTCGTTCTTCCTGTCGCTTCCGCTCGTCCTCCTCGGCCTGTCGGCGTCTTCGTTCCTCCTCAAGAGAGGGCTCCGCTTCTTGCCAATGAAATATCGCCTTGAGGTACTTGGCCTCCTCGGGTGACCACACTAACGAATTAACCATTTTGGGTGGTTTCTCATTGCACTTTGTTGGAGACGCTGTCAAATTTGTGAATTATCGTGGTCGGTCAGAAATCGCGTTGGTTTTCGAGATTCGATACTCGCGGGGTTTTAGAATGCAAGTTGGAATTCTTTGTTTCCCATGTGCGGCCAGCTTGAGTCATTCTACGGATCATTCAGAAATTCACAATGGTCACCGAGCTGTAAGTTAGGACGGAACAAAGGCGTCAACAGCAAGAGCAGCAGGAGCAGAAACACGAACACAGGGAACCACCGTGACGCCATGTGCTGGGTGGCACATTGTCGGACTGCATTCTGGCAAATATCAACCTCTAACATGAATCAAGATCAGCATCATCCCGCATCCATCCAAATCTGCCATGTGAGAGCCCTTCATCTAGATGCCTTTGCGTGAGGGGAGCAGGCAAAAGGAAAGGGGTCACGCCCTCTTTATGATCTTCAGGGAGTCGCCCAACAAAGGCAAGAGCGAGTAGGCTAATATCAATTCCGTGTGTTGAGAGGGTGCATGACTGGCAAAATAGAGGGCTTATGCTTCCCAAAGTACAAAACATAATATATTCACATTCATCTCTGCATCTTGGGTTTTTTTTTCGTTTTGTTTTTTTCTAGCGATGAGTGGATCGGGTTCCAGCGAGAAGCGGCGCAGTGTGTGACGGTTAGGACCAGCAACTACCTAGTTCATAAGGCACGAGAACCTACCCTAAATTATCATCATATACTCCCCCACACAGGAAGAGAGGAAAAATCAAATCAAGAAAGAAAAGTCTACTCCAACTGTTGTTTTATTTTAACCTTTGCCTTTATTTTAGGTCACATTCTATGGAGTTTTCCAAGTTGGAAGTGATAGACCAAAATTAGCCCTTTGCTGGTTGCTCCCAAGAGCGTAAGTCAACTTCTCGAACTCTTCATCCCCTGCCCGCTGCTCGTAAAACGGGACAAGTTCACTGGCTGTCTCGTGTCGTCGATCCCAGTCATGCAAACGCCGCCGTTAGATTCAAGATCGGGGAAGCCAAGAGTCTCACCATCAATCCTCCCGTTGTAGGCAGGGGTGCGGCGGACAATCGTCTGGACCTGCCCAACTTGGGTAATTATTCCACACTCGATCGACCGAGAAACACAATCATCTCACTAAACAAAGTTGGGTTGCAGTCTGCTCTTCTGACGGAGGCCTCAACAGACATCCACCGGGTACCTACCTCAGCTACATGCATGCAGCTGGTTATTTTATTTTAACCTTTGGGTTGCGTTGCACAGCGATGCAATGGTACGGAACGCAGATGTGAAGACGCGGGGTCGGGAAGGATGCCGCTTTACTGGCTGGGGGGCAGGGAGGGAAGACCGGTGCCGAAGCGCCGGTGTGGAGCCCTGCTGGTGGGTTCTCAACCCTAACCACAGCTATTAATAACTGACAAGAGAACCATTTCCTCCGTATGGAATCGCCTCATTCTAGTGAGGTCGCCGATTGCTTACCACTCACTGCTTTGCCGCACTAAACCCTAGCTGCCCAGCTGCCTGTCCTGACATGAAGATGGTGCCGCTTCAATCATGATTAATTTCCCGATTGATTTGGCATCAGAAAACAAATGATTGCTCGAGGCAATACAGTGGTGGATGAGGCCGTCAGGGCCTCGTCCAACCCCAGTAGTGGCTCGGCTCCACGCCTTGCCGGGACGGGTGTGCTCGAATAGGGCGATCTCCTTCCTCCCCGTCCCTGGCTCTTTGGCCGCCCGCGTCTGCTGGTCAGCACGGGATACTGTAACCCCGCTTGTCTTGGCTTCGGTGCCCTGGCCTATTGTGGACAGGTTGTGAACACCGGAAGCTCGCCTCGGTCGACGAATGATGGCAAGAGGCATGGGAGTGCCGTCCTGGTCTTCTCGAAGCCTACCGAGCAATGGGACGGCCGGCTAACTCGGGACCGGCAGGTTTGGCCCTCCGTTGATGCGGTCTGTGGGCAAAGCTGAACCGGAGACCCAACATTCAGCCCTACGGCGGCTATCCGACAAATGCGTCTCGAGAGTTGACGCGTCGTCTGACTCCACCCGCCAACACACGCCGTCTCAAGTGGCATTCTCAGCCGCATGCACGCAGGACGCCGGAAACCAGTCGCTGAGCTAAGGGCCCCGTGGGTCCTGGGGACCTGCAGGGGTTCGGTTGTGGCCCCCGCTCTCCCCTGTCCCCTGTGGGATGCCATTCTGGGATCGTTTCACCAGACAGCTGGGTCGGCTTTTCGTCTTTGCTCATTTTCCCTTTTCTCCAAGGTGTCGCTCATTCGGGCCATCCGTCGCTTCACTCTGCGTCTAATACCCGCGCGTGATCATCTGAGTCTCGGACTTGGTGAGACCATGTCATAAAACTCGAAATGGACAACTACCCACCGCGGCCACGGCCACGTCCGCCGCTTCGCTCCGAGACCTCGTCCAGCGCCTTCAGCAGGATATCAACCGTGTCTGACTTCACGGACCTTGGTAGTTTCCAAAGCCACGGAACCTACCCTCCCTTGCAAAACCGACCTTCTCTCTCCACACTCCAAACGTCCAGCGCCAACTTTGCTTCGGGAACGGGGGCGGGAGATGAGGGCTATACCTATGCCAGCCCAACTTCTGGCTGGACCACCTTGACGACCTCCCCTCACAATATTGGCTACTCGCCGGTAGCTTTGACAGACGCGTCGCAACCCTCCAGGCAGGACCGCAGCCACGCCCATAAGCACCATGAAGCAATTCCCGAGGAGGACGGCGCCGACCTCGGTCTGGTCAACTCGGCTGCCTCCATAGACGGCGGGGATGCGGAGAAACCAAGCATACGGGTTACCTCGGTACCGATGTTTGACCTGACACATACTCTGGGCCCAACAACGAAGGCCGATGAAGATTTCCTGAAGGCCCTGCAGCAGCAGGAAGCGCTCGGGAAACTGACCGGCGGTCTGGGGCTCGGTATCAAGACGGATATGACCGTGACCGAATCCGCGCTGCTGGCTGCGAGCCCGGTGGCCGAACGGCCGCTCAGTCGAACCTTCTCTAGGGCCAGGCCCGTGAGCCGAGCCGAGACCCTGAAACGACTGGGGCAGAGCGAGGCCAACAAGCGGGGTGAAGTGATTGAAGTTGTCATGGAGGACGCCCCGCCACACTCCAAGGTCGACATCAGTCTGGTATCGGGACACAACACCGAAGACCCGGTCCCGTCCGTCATGAAGCAGACGACGTTCCCGACTAGGAAGCCCACGGCTACCGTCTTCTACCCACAGCCCAACTGGAAACCATTCTCGCTAAGGTGGCCGTACCTCATCTTGTTGGTTGTCTTATCGCTCGTCCTCGCAGTTGCCGTCGAGGTGCTATACCGCTCCTCCGCCCACGACCCACTGGTCACCTTCCGGGCCCCTTCGGAGATCCCCACGTCCCAATACTTTGCCATCAAGTTTCTGCCCATGATCACCGCCGTCTCGTACGGTGTGCTCTGGCAGATCACCAACTTCGAGGTGATGCGTCTCGAGCCTTTCTATCAACTCTCCAAAGAGGGGGGCGCCCTAGCAGCCGAGTCGATCAACGTCGACTATCTCACGCAGTTCAACCTCTTTCGCCCGCTGCGTGCTCTCCATTACAGACACTTTGCCGTCGCTGTCTCCTCGATTGCTAGCTTGCTGGCCAACACATTGGTGCCCACTCTCGGGGCTGCCTCCATCGTCCTGACACCGGATCGTAACACCCGTATCCAATTCCCCAATGATCCGAAGCACATTCTCATGCACCACGTCTGGTCCCGCCTGCTGACCACCACCCTTGTTATCATCGCTTTCCTCGGCTGCATCCTCTTCTACCTGCTGCAGACCCGCCGCACCGGCCTACTCGCCGACGTCAAGGGCATTGCCGGCCTGGCGTCCATGGCCACCGTCTCCCATATCCTGATGGACTTCAAGGACATGGATGTCGCGACCCACCAGGACATCCACCACAAGCTCAAATCCCACCGCTACGTCCTCCGCAACTCTTCCCTCGCCCCAGACGACTCCCTACCCACCGCTCACGGCTCCAACGGAACACATGACCCGGAACCCGACCGCTACACAAACCACCACCTCTCGCCCAACCCGCAGCCCCTAATGCTTCGCCCCCAGGGCGCCCTGCCCTTCCTCGCCTTTATCCTCATCTTCACCGCCCTCCTCCCGATCATCCTCTTCACACCGGCCACGGTGCTCACCGACCACGCCCCCTGGCTCGTGACCGCGCTCGCCGTCCTCATCAAGCTGTCCTGGGGCGCACTCGAGACCGACGTGCGCGTCATGGAGCCCTATTATATCCTCTCGCGCCGCCACGCGCCGCCCAAGACGCTGTGCCTCGACTACACCGCCATGCCCTTTGGCTGGGTCGCCATCAAGGGCCTGCTCAACGGCCACTGGCTCGTCTTCGCCGTCGGCCTGGGCACCGTCATCGCCGAGGTGCTCACCGTCTTGGTGACTAGTCTAGCCACCGTCGAGGGCCGTGTGTTCCTCGACATCATGGAAAAGGGCGGGAAGCCTACCACAGCCGCCGCCGCCGCCACCGCCGGCCCCGGCCCCGGCGGCGACATCAACGCCGGGCAGGAGACGGTGCCGAGCTTCTGGCTATCGCTGGCACTGGCGGTGATCATCCTGGTGTACATGGCCGTCGTGGCGGGCGTGGTATTCATGCGGCGCGGGCGCGTCTTCCTGCCGCGCCAGCCCAACACCATCGCCAGCGTGCTGGCCTACATCCACCAGAGCAAGATGCTGTACGGCTTTGTGGGCACGGCCCAAGCTGTCCAACGCCGACATGCTGCGCCGCCTCGAGGAGCTCGGCAAGACGTATGGTCTGGGCTGGTTCCAGGGCCGTGATGGCCAGAGCCATTGCGGCGTCGATGAGGAGGAGCTGTTGAGTGGGTATAAGGTCGGGTATGATTACTCGAGGGCGACCAAGCCGTGGGAGGAGACCGAGGTTAATTGGTTGTGAGGCTGGTTGGGGAAGGTGTTTTTTTTTTTCTTCTTCATCTTTATACTTTCATTTGTTTTGTTTGGGAGCCTAGCCGGGGCACCTTACTGTGTGTATGCATGGCGTGGGGTTTGTTGGTTAGTTTTGGGTTGTTTGACTGGTAGTGCATTACTGGCGTAGGGGGTCTCATGTGAAGGGGGGATGATACCTTGGATGCTGAATATTCCAGCTCATGATTAAATCTATTCACTTTCGTATCATGGCAAGACTTGAAAGTGCGGCATGCAGAAATTTCCACAAGTGTGTCCCAGCCTGGAGCATGCCTGGTCGTTTACATCCTTTCGACCCCCCCCGGGCGGGCCTCCCTTAGGCTAGAATCTGACATCGAGTTACACAGGGACGGAATGTATTTGCCGTGGCGCTACAGTAATGTCCGCGTATAGCTTACACAGCTTATACAGAGGGTCCGCTTAGCGGTCCGCAGAGGATCATTAAGATGCGGGTGAGATGGCCCGTTGTGGTTCGGCCGCTCGTATTACCTCCTCGCCACGCGCGAGATGGGACGAGCGCGAGATTACACTCCGACGACATAGCCACAAACAAAGGAGACGGCTGGGACTGCCCAGCTGAATTCGTTGTTTACTTGTAATGTCGTGTGTAGTGTAGTTTGCAACTGGAATGCAGATCTCGCGGGCCGAGGTGCTGCATGTGTCAGATCACAGCTGACTAGGGAGAGATGTCGAACTGATCGCCAGTTGAGTTAAACCGAAAAAGCGTTGGCTGGAATTTAGCGTGCTCTTATACCTTCCATGGAGCATACAAGGTAACTAGGTGGTAACTGTGTAAGTGGCTTCCATGTTTGAAACGCATAGCCCATGGAAGGCTGCGACAAACGGAAACGCAACCCCCCGAAACGATGTTTCGCATGTGCGACTCCAGAGCCATTGAATGAGTCGCCACGCACTCCGGACCGAAGCAGATCGCCGCGGCTGTGGGAATCTGGTGCAAACCTACCGTTTCCACAGCAAAGAGAACATCAACACACCGAACGAGTTTTGATGTGGTTGGAAGAGGTCAGCCATCGCCGATCGTTGGCTGCATCTGCTCCCATCACCATGGCCACGGCGGGGCAGGTGCAGCGCAATGCAGCGCCCGCAGGAGGGGTAAAGTGGTGATTGGGCAATGCGCTACAAAAGGATGCACGCGCGCAGCGTTGCCCGTTGCGAATCGATGACAGGCTGGCGGCCACTCCCTCGTAGATAGGACAACAAAACAAACAACAGCTTGCTGTTGATCGTTTGGTTCTTTCTCCAGACTCCAAACCGGCTGCAACGGCGCCGACGAGTCGTCGTTTTCTCGGATCGCCAAAAGTTTGTGGAACCTCCCACCAAAGGGCCCAGATCCGCTCTTCTCGGCAGCGGGGGACAGGGTCTCATTGCACCCAGGGGAAGGAGGCTGTGCAGTCTCGATTTCTTGTCGCGTATTTCGTCGCTGCTGAAAACACGGGCTGCCGCAGAATGAGCGAGGAACGCAATTAAACGCTGCGCCTGGATAGATTCGTCATGTCCGTAAACCTCCGTCAAGGCTGGAGAATTTGAGATGAATTAAAGGTTTTGGCTTCATTCTGTACGAGAGAGGAATCTTGAAGCAGGAATGCGAACCTGCGAACCTGCGAACCTGCAAGGTCTGGCCCGAATCTTCAATCAAGGGCGGGGCTCCCGTCTGCAGAAGTGCCGCACGCATAGGCGCCGCCCCTGAGTTTTCCAGGGGAAGGAGCCACTCACCCACGGGAGAATGGGCGGAAGATGCGGAGGGAGCAACTTCCATGCAGCGCAGCTTCCCCTGCTTGGCGACGCTGGTTCTCGCGGCCAAGAGGCTCGATTTCTTCAGCCAAGGGCTTGGATATCTTGCCCATGGGCACAAGAAGGCTGTGGGAGTTTGAGAAAGGATGATTCTATGAACCATTCTCTCCGCTTGATCAGGTTCCGAAACTTGGTTGAAGGGTAATAATGATGGTCGATTGGCCCACTGCACAGACCATGTGTTAGAAGTGTACTTTATATCTCCACCAATCTGCATGGCATCCGAGAGGCATCACGGCGCATATCCAGTCACCCGCTATCCTGCCGATCTAATCTCCCAGCCGGCATTAACTGTCGATACTTGGCAGTGACCCCCTTGCGGGCCCTCTCTTGACCACTTGACAGTCCCCAACCCCGTGTGTCCCTGTTTTTGTCTTCTCATTACGCAGCGCTTCCCCGTCACCCGACACCCAAACACACCTGAGGCGACCCGCCGTCCATTCTTTCACTCCTTTGACTTCATTATCTTTCTCAAACTACCAAATTGGCACGTCACTCGTGCTAGTTAGACGGATTCTTCTCACCATCTTTTTTCGTTGTACGACTCGGCCTGGATCTCGACTTCGGATTGAACGCGCTTCCTTGTCGGCAGACTTCCCTCGCTTTACTCCCCTGCCGAAACTCGAACCGCCTTCCCTCCCGAGGACATTTCCATATTCTGCTCTTCTTCAGTGACGTCGCGATTTCACTTCGGCCCATTCCACCAGCGCTTCGTTTGCTGGCTTCCATAACCAACCCCGATCTCGAGTCTAGAACAACGGCGACCCTACTGACGGACATCGAGAAATCGATTGATCTGGCTCTTTAGCCGCCGACTTCACAGTCTCGAGGAACGACAATTTTTCACGACCTGTCGATTCTATACACCTTCAGATATACCCACAAAAATGCGGTGGCCATTGTCAAGGCCGCTTGCGGCCCTGGCGTCGCTCGCCGCCTTCGCCTCTCCCGTGGCCTCCGAGTACATCCTCCAGTCCAACTCCCTAAACGCCTGCCAGGAAAACTCGGGCTTCACGGCTAGCTTGTTCAAGGTTGTTTTCACGCCGAACAACCACACGGCAAACGTCGACATTGTCGCCGTCTCGTCCGTTCAGGGCAGCGTCATTTTCGATGTCTCCATCTCGGCCTACGGATACGAAATTATCAAGCGCAAGGTCGACCCCTGCGACGCTGGCCTCGCCGGTCTGTGCCCCATGACCGCCGGCAAGATCCCGCTCAACTTTAACCTCAACGTTGGCGAGGAAGCCCTCGGCCAGATCCCCTCGATCGCCTACACTTTCCCGGACCTTGACGCCAAGGTGAAGGTCTTCATCAACATGACGGACGGGGCCGAGGCGGGCAAGAGTGTCGCCTGTGTCGAGGCCGACATCTCCAACGGCAAAACCGTTGACTTGCTCGGCGTGAAGTGGGCCACCGCCATCGTTGCCGGCCTAGCCCTGGTTTCGTCGGCCATCGTGTCAGGCCTCGGCCACCAGAATGCCGCTGCCCACGTCGCTGCTAACGCTCTCTCGCTCTTTGGATACTTCCAGGCCCAGGCCATGCTGGGCCTCACCGGAGTGCCTCTACCGCCCATCGTCATGTCGTGGACCCAGGATTTCCAGTGGAGCATGGGCATCATTCATGTCTCCTTCATGCAGGACATTTTCACCTGGTACCAGCGCGCGACCGGCGGCACGCCCTCCACCATTTTCGACTCGCTGACGACCGTCTCGGTCCAAGTGGAGAAGCGCGCCGTCGAGTTCGGCATGGGCCTGGCAAAGCGCTCGCTGGCCATGATGCCGCGGACCATTTCCGAGCCCATGTCGGCCATCATGAAGCGCGAGCTGATCAAGCGAGGCAATATCCAGACCAGCTCTGGTAGCTACATTGTCTACGGCATCCAGCGCGCGGCCTTCCGTGCCGGCATCGAGTCGACCAACCTGTTTATGACAGGTCTCATTTTCTTCTGCCTCTTGGTCATCATTACCTGCGCTTCCGTGGCAGCTTTCAAGGGCATGCTCGAAGTGGCGGCGAAGAAGAAGTGGATTCCCGGCGACAAGTTCCTCGAGTTCCGCAACGGCTGGCTCACGGTCCTCAAGGGTATCTTGTTTCGCCTGACCCTGATCGGCTTCCCTCAGATGACCATCCTCTGCCTCTGGGAGTTCACGCAGAAGGATTCCGCCGCCGAGGTTGTGCTGGCCGTCTTCTTCCTGCTTGGCATGGGCGTCACCCTCGGATGGGCTGCGTCTAAGGTCATCATGATCGCCCGCCGCTCCGTCATGATGCACCACAACCCCGCCTACATCCTGTTCTCAGACCCCCAGGCGCTCAACAAGTGGGGCTTTTTGTACGTCCAGTTCCGGGCCTCTGCTTACTACTTTATCGTCCCCGTTTTGGGCTACGCCTTGGTCAAGGCCATGTTCGTCGCTTTCGCGCAGGACAAGGGTACGGTCCAGGCCGTCGGTTTCATCCTCATCGAAGCCGCCGCCCTGATCGCCGCTAGCGTGCTGCGCCCGTGGATGGACAAGAAGACGAACTCGTTCAACATCGCCATCTGCGCCATGAACTTTGTCAACTCCATCTTCCTCCTGATCTTCACTGAAGTCTTCAACCAGCCGCCTCTCGTCACAGGTGTTGTCGGCCTCGTGCTCTGGATCGCGAACGCCGTTTTCGCCTTGATCCTGCTGCTCATGCTCATTGTGAGCACCATCTTCGTCTTCTTCCGCGAGAACCCCGACGGCCGGTACCAGATTATGGCCGACGACAGGACCTCGTTCATGAAGTCGCAGACGCACCTCACGCAGACCACCGAGCTGGACGCCCTTGCCGCTACCGCGCGCGGCGACAAGTCCGGCTTTAAAAACGGCCTGGATCTCGACGACGATGCGGAGTCGATCACGTCGGACTCGATGCGCCACAAGGCCGAGCACCTGGGCGTGCCCTCGGCGAACAACTCGGTGGCGGGCTTCAACCGGCCTCACAGCCCCGCTTCCCCGGCTATGCCCCTATTCCCTGCCGACACTCCTCGGAGCCCTCCGCGGTACAACGATCGGCCAGCCAGCCCGTTCAGTGCGCAGAACCGCCCGGCGAGCCCCTTTGGCGCGCATAACCGGCCAGCAAGTCCATTTGGTGCGCAAAACAGGCCTGCCAGCCCGTTCGGCGCGCCCAACAACGGGCCAGCATTCCGGGCTCAGAATAACTCGAGGTGAGCAAAGTCAGGTTATTTTAAAGTACGGCTTCGCTAACCCATCCCAGCCCTAGCCCTTGGCAACGCGGCGCTGGTTACGACTAATGGATGCTACCAAAGCGGCCACGTCTGGCCCCTCGGTTGTATCTGACCATAATGATAAATGGGACACGGAGTTTTGCGTTTTTCGAATTCGATATACACGGCCGCACGTTTCCGCATCCGGCTTAGGGAGCCTTCGGACATCAACAGCTTCTGTGAGGGACGTAGTATTCCCGCAACAGATACCCGTGGCGCTTTTCGCCCACAGCACCGGCCCGTGTTGGATACACGACGGTCCTCAATCGACACCCATCCCTTATATTCTTTCCTTTTTTGTCGACTGACTGGCTGGGGGCATGAAAAGGCGTCGGGGTAGGGACCTGGGGTGGAATGGTCACTTTTTTTTTCTTTAACCTGTTGTCTCTTCTGCACAGACATGCCACGAGAAGGGGTGTGTATTACTTGGGCGAGAGCTCGGGAGTTGATTTGCGTTCGTGACTTATCATCCCACATCTACTTGAGCTGTATATATACGGGTGAGCCCGATGAACCCTTGACAGCTGGGCTGGAAGACGGGCTGCGTTGGGGTTGCGGTTGGGTCCGCGTGAGGGGCTTCTTTTTGTGTTTTGGCTGGATGGGATGGGTTGGGTGGGTTGTAGTTAATTCAGCTGAGTTGAATATTGCTCTGGATTATTTACTACGTGCTTGTCATTGGTCTCGGTGTCGGGCTTTTGAGCGTGGATCCCCCAGGTTTGCTGCCGCCGTGCTGTTTTATAATCGGGGGCGAGGCACTTACACAGCCGAACATTGCTGGGAAACCAAACTAGCAAGGACTGATCAAGAAACCAGAAAACCCACCCTCATATTGCTCTGGTCCAACGGTTGGAATCGACATCGAAGAATTATTTTGCTGATGCTCAGCGTCATGTCATATCAATATTGAATTGAGTAGCACAGCTATTAGAATAGACTAACTAAGTTGGAATGAAAGAGAAAGGAGCGTAATTAACCCGGAAGTAGAGACATTCCCACAACTCCTGGTAACGCCCCAACCTCAACTGTAATCCAGCTCCTGCCCTGCACACTTTGTCTCACGTTCATCGTCTCATACACCATTACGCTCCCCTCGTCAACACCAACCAACGTTTAAGAAACAGAGCCGGACACGGTCCAGGGTAGGGTTAGGAAGTGGACATCTCAGTCCCAATCTCGAAGTTGGGGAGAACTACACACCACCGTAAAGAAAAGCACCCAGGAAAACCAACCCTCAGAAGAAGAAAGCGAAAGTAAAGGAGAAGCGAAGAGAGAAGGTTAACCGTTACAAACAAACAAACAAATAATCAAACCAAAACAACCAACCAAGCAATCTTAAACCCCAACACCAACCCCCTCCCCAGCACCATCCTCCATCTTGACCCCACGTCCCCTCCTCCCCATCCTCCTCCCCGTCCCCATCCCCACCCTCACACCCACCGCCCTCGCCCCATCACCACCACCACCTCCCTCCCCGTCCCCTCCTTAAGCACCGACTCGTAGTACGCTGATTTACTGACAATTGCTCTTTGTTGACATTCTTTAGACCTCTACACCTAGAAGTCTCGCCCGTTCTGGTATGTATATTATTATTATTATTATTATTTCATACACCGATATGGCCTGGGGGCGCGCCGGTCCTTCTACTGCTATGTACAAAGGAAAACGGTACCGTATAGGCTGGATACAAACCTCTGGTCTAACACTTTGTGGACAGCATTCTATGAATCCGTCGTACTGCGAAAGAAAAGGAGGGACCTTTGCCGGCCTCCGGGGCCT